CTGGGTCAACTGTGTCAGCAGTTTAGAGTGCATCGACTTGGAATGCAAACTTAATAAAATATAATTAAAATGGCTTGTTCATATTGCCAACGACAGCAAAGAAATAAACAATAAAAGATAAAAAATGTAAAGTACAACATAAAGATATGTCAAATTAGGTAACTATTAGTATAGTTATGATTTTATTTATTTTTTAAGCATTTAACTGCTAGATGTTTAAATCTAAAGAAAAGTTTACTAGAAAAAAATCCACGCGGACCAGGTAGCGGACGGGACTCGAACCAGCATCCTTCGCTATCCGGGCGAATGCACTGACCATTATGCTACCGCGGCCCTATTAGCCGCGTCGAAATTTTCCTAGCCTTAAGCTGCAAGGCAGCGCCATCTTTTCGCATTGTAGGTAACCCACAATGTCAAATGAATACTTTTTCAAGTATTAAACATTTGAAAGAAGAAATAACAATTATAGTTATGATTTTATTTATTTTTTAAGCATTTAACTGCTAGATGTTTAAATCTAAAGAAAAGTTTACTAGATAAAAAAGAAAAGTTTTTTTGCTGTATTCGCCCGGATGCGCTGCCTTGCAGCTTAAGGCTAGAAAAATTTCGACGCGGCTAATAGGGCTGAGATAAATTGTCAAAGTCTTGTTCTTGGTTGGGGAGGCGGCCCCTTTAATGTTCACTACGGAACCACTCCAACAGTTAATTATGCAACTGTTAATCTGTGTTTAAATATCCTTCATATAATGAGGGGTATTAAAACACGAATATGGGTTTATCACACGAGGCGAAGCCGAATATGATAATAGTATCACATGAGTGTTTTAATACCTAATTAAATCAGTTACATACAAGACTTTATCTTCAAAAATGTGAATAAAGATCCTGAAACCATTGGGCGTTCTAAGAACTTTAAATTCATGAAAAGTTTCGGCGCTGTGGTAGTAAAAAGTGAATGACAATGGTGGCAATTCCGTCATGATTCTCTAAACCTAAACTCAAATTTGACAACAGTATTGTAATGTCAAAGAAGAGACTGATGTTAAATCTAGTTTTAAGTCAGAGAATCATACCAGAATCGACACCAGTGTTCCTTTTATGAAATTTATAATACCACGCATCGAGCAGTAATAGGGGTGATGACGGGATACAGTAAACGAAATTCTAATTAGTCCGTCAGTTAGATGATCAAAAAATAATGGACACGTATTTTTTCTCTGGGCAATCAACCAAAAAATGACAAAGTTATAGCGCGTCAAAGTCTGGGAGTAGGGGCTCGTGACGTCACTTTTGAGTGAATTTCCACTTATAAGTGTACTCAAACGTGACGTCATGCGACTTTTCAAATCAATTTATCTCTGCAATGTTTATATTATGTGAAAAAACAAAAAATACGTGTCCAATACTTTTTGATAATCTACCTGATAAACGAAGAAAAATAAATTAGTCATCATCCCTATATATTATTAATAATTTACCTTTATTGTATCTCTTTAGAGAACTAAAAATATCCCTTTATTTCTACTAGTAGAACTTAATGGATAAAAAATGAACTTTTATTCTTCTAATAGAAATCAAAGAAGAAAAATCTTTAAGTTCGTGTAGTTCTATTAGGATTGGACTGAACGGTCTGTGAAATGTTATAAATTCATCAGCATTCGGTGTGTTTTTGAGAGACGTGAGGAAGGACAACTAATCTTTTTAAATAAAACTCAAAGGTGACTGACTGACACAGTGATCTATCAACGCACAGCCCAAACCACTGGACAGATCGGGCTGAAATTTGGCATGCAGGTAGATGTTATGACGTAGGCATCCACTAAGAAAAGATTTTGTTCAATTCTACCCCCAAGGGGATAAAATAGGGAATGAAAGTTTGTATGAAACTTTGTCAATTTTAAACCGATCGGGCTGAGACTTTGCAGGTATAAGAAAAATCAATCATTGTGTATAATACAAGCCTGAGAACAAAAACTGTAGTCTACAATTCAGCTCTACACCGAAGCGAAGCGAGGGCGAACCGCTAGTTATGTATAGGTGTCTAAGTAGCATTACATCTAACATCTTGAAACGTCTAATTATCAGAATGTCCATGTAGCAAACGTCCAATTCTCTTAAGGGCTGTATCTTTAATAGAGGCAGTGCTGCCAACCCGAATTTTAGAAAATTAGTAGATTATGTGCCAAATGTTGGTAGAAGTTGGTAGAATGTAAAATACAAAATTGGTAGATCTACCACCTCAATTTAGAAGATTTTTTAAGATTAAAAATGCACGCAATGCAATGCAGAGCACACTTCATATCACACCTACATGATTTGCAATAAAAATATCCGTCACCCTTAGTAATTTCTTGAAGCCAACCTGCAAATTCCATGTCTTTCTCCCACAATTTCGAATATTTTTGGTCATAGTGCCTTTTTCTAGGTTTTCGTGGCGGAGTTCCTAACCTAGAATTATGTGCATCGCTTTCGCTGCTGTCAGAATCCATTATATAAATAAATGCACGCAACATAGAACAAACAGCAATCAGCACTGTTAATACACAGTTAATTAGTTTTTACAATAAAACAGGAGCAAAGATTCAACATTGATTCCGCAACAAACCAACCGGGAATAGGCCACAGTAAGAATAGTAAAATATGGGCGCCGAACTCATGGCAAACTGTTGCTGACTTTTTTTTTGTGGTTTATGGCCTGGACTCTATGTATGCTTGACGCCTCGTTGCATGGCTCACGCAATACATTGCAACGTTGCTCGTCGATATAAAAATAATTCAAAGTGGTGATATGTCAAACTAATTAAAAAATAGGTAGTTTTTAGGTCTAGGGTGGTAGTTAGATTTTTTACCTGCGTATTAAAAAAAAAAAAGGTCTAGGGTGGTAGATAGGTAGACTGAAGTGAAAATTGGTAGATCTACCAAAAAGTTGGTAGATATGACAGCACTGAATAAAGGTTTTAAAGCATGGGTGTGGATAAAGATAAATTAATCTCTCAAAGGCGACTTACAGCCTTAGATTAAAACAAAAAGGGAAGATACGGCACTAGCCTCACAAAAGTGATCCGTACAAATTGTGGTCCACGAACCTAATCGCTTTAGTCACAACTTGACATGCAAACGACGAACATGTGAACGCCAAAAAGAAATATTGATAATATAATTTGTCTTTATATGATAAAACAATGCCTAAGTATGTTTTTAAAAATTGCTCAAGAACTAAAAATGAAACCTACGGCATCACTTTTCATTCGTAAGTACTATAAAATATATTTTTTCATAAAAATTGCTGTTTGTTTTGAATCTTATTCGGTAGTAACGTCGAGTACTGGTCGCGTGATTGGTCGGTAAAGCAGTGACGCGGATCTCGCCGTCCCGTTCGCGCTGCCGTGGGATCAGTTTTTGTTTGATCCAAGTATGAGCGTACCGTATCTACCCTTTTTGTTTTAATCTAAGCTTACAGCTAGATTAGCCCACGTTACACTCACTGCGCTTCCCCTTAATAAAAGTTCTAAGAAATGTAGGTCGAATGGAACCCTCCTCCTGGTACCGTTTCTTATGTCGCTCACACATTTTTCATTGACGAATAAGTGCAATGGACACCGTCAACTTTGTCATAAGTTTCTTTCTCTCGAAAAAAATTAGTCTTCTTACGGCATACCTTTGTTGGAACCCTGGTAGGTAAAATTATAAAAAACCAATTCTAAAATTTTCTTGCCAAGTTCTGTGGGTTATAAAAAGTAGAAAATGCGATGTTACAGCAGAAGCTTAGAATATTACCGAAGTTAAGAATAAATATATGCATTTGAATTAGCAAAATTTTGTAGGTTAGGTATTATATTCAATATGTAATGTATATACTATATTATATGATTATTAAATATAATGTAAACCTATTCAGCTTAATTATTGTTTAGCTGGCCATAAAGTTTAAAAGCCTATTATAAACTTACAATTTCATTTTTACGATTTCATTAGAGAAAAATGTCAACGACCTCCGTGGCTGAGTGGTTTGTATCCCAGGTTTTAAGGTTAATACGAGCATTTGTACTCCAGTCATAGATATTTAATATGTATTTCTATATAAATATATATTGTATCAGTATATGTATGCTGTCCGTTACCCTAGAATCCCACAATACAAGCCTACAGAGCTTACTTTGGGGCTAGACTAATTAGTTTGAGTGTTGGCAATATTTATTAATTTAATTTAAGATCAAACGGGCACGCGGCGGTCGGATTAAAAGTGTATTTTTTTTCTTTATTTTGGCACAAACAGTCTTAACATAAATCAATAATTCACCGCGCTTCGAACCCAGGTCCTCTGAGTAGGCGATTCCTTGGAAACCGGCGTGCAAACCACTCCCACTCCGGTCGCTGTATTTTTTTCAATATTATAGGGGGTATACGAGCTGCCGTCTCACCTTATGGTAAGTGATCACCGTCGGCCATAGACACCTTTTTTTTTTATAACGCAGGTAAAAAATGCTGTTCACAGACGACGGCGCCTTTAAGAGGCATACCGCCAAACGAACCTCACACCTGGCTCCCGCAAGTCTTACGGACCCCCCAGTGGCTGTCCACCGAGAACCCCGCAACTCTTACGGGCGCTTTACGGCATAGTATCCCCTAAAAAAGTCCTGCGAACACCCTCTAAGCTGCTTAGCGCGAAGCCGCGGGAGCTGGGGTTCCACGGCAGGGGTCTCCCGGGGTATCACGGGGACCCCGCAGACGTGCGCGGGTAGACCCGCGCGTGGGGGCTGGGTACGCGGCCTAATGCCCACCGTACCGCCCCCCGTCCGCTGCGGAGGGCTACTTGGGCGTGCCCGTGTAGCTCCCTCCGCCACCCCCCTCTTTGCAGAACAGAACTACAAGGGGGGGCGGCCATAGACACCTGCAACACCAGGAGTATCACAAATGCGATGCTGGCCTTAAAGGAAGTAGTACGCTCTTTTTAATCCTGATCATGCTTCCAATAAAAAGAATGTGTGTTGCCACTATCAGATGATATGTTGGAGCTGTGCCGAGCTGCGTCGGCGCGGCAGGTGCGCGTGCGCGCGACTCACGAGCGCTCGCCGCCGCTGGCCCCGGACGGGGTGCACCGAGAGGGCGTCCTCCTCGATGTTGGCTGTCCATGGGCAGCACACGTCGTGGCCCTGGTTCGAACGTTATTGGTATTATTGTTTTGGACTGGACCGGCAAACTCTGCTACCTCAAGTCATCAGCTCGTGAGTAGGTTCTACCTTTCACCTAACAAGGTGAGTTATTGTTATTGGACTATCAGCGTCGACATTTTTAAACCCGAAGAGCAGTTTTGGAGCAGTTTCGTTACAACTACTACTTATTGACTATTACATAACTCAATATGTCTTTTGACAAAAAAAATATCATTGATATAAGAAGTCCATGGATATTATTCAGGTATCCACGTAATATTATTAATTCTTTACTATCAAAAACGGGGAAAAATATCCGTGAGAACTTTCCGCATTGCATGCAATTTTGAGTTCATCCGTCGGTTTTATTACATATAACTAAAAATAATTTTCAGTCGTCGTCGAGCCGCGCCTTCAATCATCGCTACACATGGTTGCTGGTCCACAACTCCAGTTCCGACGCCCCAGAGGCAGACAGCCTGCTGGGCAAGGCCGCCATCTTGCCCGATGCCGACCTCACGTGGGCAGACGACGACGCCCTCGTTGACCTCTACAGGGTGAAAGAATCCCAGCCTCTCATATCCACAACTTTAACAGCCAATACGAGCGCCACACAGCGGGAAATGGAATACCTGTGGGCAGCTCTTCCAACGGCGGTGGCGCGCAGGAGGGACTTGCAAAATGTTTATCTGAAAGCAGCTACCATTGTCAGTATCTTTCGCATTTTGATAAACAAATTGAAAATGTAAGAGTATAACTTATTGAATGTAAGCAACTGCGTTTTCAGATTTCACAGCCGCATCACTTTAAAGGATGGACTGATTTAACGGTTCGACATATCGATACATTTCCTAAATTGACTTACCCGTTAATGATGCTATGCGCAGAGGACTTGCACTTTCGGTACGCATGAAACATAAGATTTTATCGCTTATTTTTATAAAGTTAATTTATAGAGTTTCATTATTTAAACGAATCCTATCATCTCCTTTCGTATCACGAGTGCACATAAACATTTCTCCAATAATGAATGTTTGTCATACTATTAGCATAAGAACTTTTTGCCCGTACTGTTCCTTCCTTCCTTCCTATAATCCGGGGTTCTTCAAAAGAGCATAGCCGCCGAAGTGAGGAGTACTAGTACTAACCTGTTGCACCAGCTGTTCGCGTCTGGACTTTACTAACACTTAACATCAGATGGGGTGGAGTGGAGACATTTGCCTATCTAATGAAGTCGGTTAAAAAATAAGAATACACCCATTGATTAAGAGTTTCATCGTAGGTATAACCTGAAGCAGGTGGACTTGTACGGCGAGGAGCGCAACGGGTCCTTCGACGGGCTCGCGGGGATGCTGCAGCGCGACGAGATCGAGATCGGCATCACGTCCATGTTCATGCGCGCGGACCGCATGCGCGTGCTGCACTTCAGCGCGGAGACCGTTGAGCTCAGGTCGGATTTACATAGATTATAATATTAGGCTGAATGTAAAAAAAAAAATGGGTGCGTGTACTTATGTAGGCGCGTGAGAAGTTATCCTTCTTTGGCATCGTTTAAAATTAGTTTTTAATAGCATGCAAATAATTAATTACAATAAATTAATAAAAAGTCTGGAAAAGGACACAGTCAATAAAGTTCAGTTTTAATTTGAAAAAATAAATAAATAATCAAAATATTCAATTAAAATCGCTACTGAATATAATTTATTAGAACATATGTGATTTGCACTTGTATGAAACTCCAACACGTATTCCGAATATACAAACTAGAAACATGTGGATAAATATTATAAATATGAATACCTATAACTGTTACTTTATTACAAAAAATAAAGATGTGGTTTTTGGTTCTACTACACCAATGGTCAAGAGATGGCGCTGTAGTCTCCTGAATCGCGCTTTGGTTCCGTTGTTCCAGATTAATAAATACTTTTGATATTATAAATATGAATACCTATAACTGTTACTTTATTACAAAAAATAAAGATGTGGTTTTTGATTTTACTACACCAATGGTCAAGAGATGGCGCTGTAGTCTCCTGAATCGCGCTTTGGTTCCGTTGTTCCAGATTAATAAATACTTTTGACATTTATTTTTCACAATGCAGTCGTTAGCACCCACTAAATAGAGATTCTATTTCTATTTTGTTGGTAGATTTTCTTAATGTGCGGTAAACACAAAAGTAACGCATGAAGTTCATGCTGTTAAAATTTTATGTTACAGTGATGCGCGCGCATCTTAAAATTTCACTCTCATCATTTTTTCATAACGCGCCTAAAGAAGTATATCTTCAAAAACAAGAAAAAAGAGGCGCATGCATTCGTAGTTCGAATTTAATTTTTGAACGCACCGTGCATGCATAAAAAAAGAAAAAGAAGAAGAACTTAATTTCCCACGCTTCATATACATTTTTCTGCCAATCGTGTTTCGTTTCGGGATTTCAGAAAAGCTCTGTAAAATACTTCTTTGTTACCTAGCTACTTGGTTTAATTTCAATTGTTCCTATGAGTGAAGATATAGTAGTGTATGCAACTGCATATGTTGTAGGTATTAAAACACTTGAGACAACCTATTATCGCGTTTGACTTCGCCTCAAGCGATAAACAGACTCGAGTTTTAATACCCCTTCTTATATGATAGCCGCATAAAGTACTTTTATAATACAGCGTGTGCTAGTAATGCTTTAGTGCCGCTATCCATTCAAAAATTTGATTAATTTTCAAAAAAAAACACTATGATTTGGTATCACGTGGCTATCTATATGACTTGTAGATATATTTTATGAAACAATTGATAGAGTCAAGGTGTTCATATATGATAAATAATATCTTTAAACAATTTAAGCTTATAAAAATGATAATGATAAATTGAGAAGATTACCGATGGTAGACGAAAGAAAGACGTGACACAGGTCGCGTAAAAATCCCACTAGACAATGAGTGAGCTTAAGGGGCCCATATACGGAACGATTGATCTGTACGATCCGTCGTTTCAGACCGATCGAAACGATGGATTGACAGTGTATGTCAAGATCGTTAACGATTTACTTAATCGCAGACGATATCGGAGACCGCAACAAAAACCCATGCAATCATGAATATCGTAAACGATCAATCGTCAGTGTCCCATATACGGTACGATTGATCTGTACGATCCGTCGTTTCAGACCGATCGAAACGATGGATCGACAGTGTATGTCAAGATCTTTAACGATTTACTTAATCGAAGACGATATTGTAAATCGCAACCAAATCCCATGCAATCATGAATATCGTTCATACAATCATGAGTTCGTTTTCCATTTTAGAGGGCAAGTATTGAATTATTTGAGTACGTCTTTATCCTACCGTTTGAAACAAGTAAATTATAGATCGTTACGATCAATCGTTTCGTGTGTGTAGTGGCATTTCTGAACGATCGATCGTTGACGATTTCCTTCAGATCGATCGCAACGACGAATCGTTTCGTATATGGGGCCCTACACCACACTGGGGTTGCCAGATGGCCGGGATTTCCGGGATTTTCTCGGAATTTTGCGTGTTGTCCCGTGTCCAGTAATTAGACCTTAGATAATGTGCTAGTTTCATGACAAAATAAACTAATAACGACACACGATGACACCTGCTTGATATTTTAATTCTTTAGGGTGATGGGGCGTTTGATTTGATGTTTTATTTTTTCAGGAATGCAAATGTCTCGTAATTGATAAGCCAGCTTCTGTTAACCCTAAGCACACTAAAGCCAACAGCACCTACAAATTTATATATAGAGCATGGGTTGAGCGATACTTGCATGATATTGTAATTGATGGCTCCCTAGCTAGAATGTGGCTATTGCTTCCCTCCCCTCATTTTATCTGCCCAGTATTATTTGACTGTTGGTAGGGGACCGTACGGTCCGTTCAATGCAAGGGCGTATCTACTCTAGGGCCAAGGGATTCATGACCCCGGGTAGCTTTAGGCATATAAAGGCATTTGTTACTGACCTATGTTTTATTTTAATATATACATTTAAGCATTTAGCTGCAGAAGGTTAAAGCTAAAGAAAATTTTACCAGAAAAATATCCACGTGGTCTTGGCAGCAGATGGGACACGAATCTGCACTTTTTTGCTATCCGGGAGGATGTACTGACCAATTATGCTACCGCGACCTTAATGGCCATGTCGAATTTCTTCTACTATTTCTTAGGCTATATTTTGATTAGATTTTTTATTTGATGCAAATCTTCAGAGGCCAGGGGCATCAGTTTTTAAAATAAGCCCCTAATTAAACGGACTGCTCAAAGACTTAAAGCGAAAGCGCACATTGAGTTACTAAGCACTTCAGCGACCATTAGTGATTTGGTCAAGCCACTATACGCAGTCACCAATCTAATCGAGAGAAATCGAGTGAATGTCACTAAGCCACTAGTGGCCGCGTTTAGCAGCTTGGCTGCAGCAATCAATTTCTCTCGATTCAAGGGTGGATCCAGGCTTGGTCCATCTGTACCCACTTCACAATCTGTACCCACTGTGACTTGACCACAACTATATGACCCCCCCCTTTTTTTTATAACGCAGGTAAAAAATCTTTTTACAGACGACGGCGCCTTTAAGAGGCACACCGCCGAACGGACCTCACACCTGGCTCCCGCAACTCTTACGGGCGCTTTACAGCATAATATTCGCTAAAAAAGTCCTGCGAATACCTCTACACTGCTTAGTGCGGAGCCGCAGGGTCCCCGTTAGGGATTCTACAACGGCTCCGCCCCCAGCAGCTTCCCGGCCTCGCCGGGGCTATATGACCCGCCCTGACGCCAAAGCTGCATCCGCCCTTGTCTCGATTAGATCGGAGGCTGCGTGAAGTGGCTCGTCTGAGTCACTAGTGGTCGCGTTGAGTAGCTCAATGTGCGCTTGCCAAAAGAAATGTTGAAGAGTGATGTGATAGTGTGCGGGTGGTTGTGCAGAGGCGCGTTCATATTCCGTCAGCCGTCGCAGTCGTCGGTGTCGAACGTTTTCCTGCTGCCGTTGAGCCGCGGCGTGTGGGCGTCGGCGATGGCGGTGTTCGTCACGGCGGGCGCGCTGCTGGCCGCGCTGAGCCGCCGCCCCACCCACCACTCGACTCTACAGCCGCTCACGGTCGCCGAGTGCTTCACCTTCACCATAGGAACGGTGTGCCAGCAAGGTGGCATTGCATTTTTACAAGCTCTATTTATTTATTTTATTTTAGGAAGGTTTACAGCTATCAATGACTTATTAAATAAACAAACAACAATATCTAAAAGCCAATTAAAAACCTCCACATATTAAACATGCCTATATAACTATAACTATCTCATAATCTTTTATCCTACTATAATATGCTTACATGCGTATAATATAATTCATATCATAATATATTTATTACAGCTAACAATTTATACTAACTTAAAAAAAACAGAAAGGAAACAGACGCCAGTTTGAATATTGAGCATACCCACTTATTTAATTAATGCCTATTTAAAATAATTCGAAGCTACTGTCGCTGGGCTTGTCGAGAATAAGTCAAAGTCGTTCTCAATACTATACTTGCTTTATTTAACTTGCAATGTATGTTGTTATGAGGAGCTCGATGGCGCAAGTGGTTAGTGCGTTCGGCTGCGATCATTGAACTTAAGCAACTTTCGCAGTGGTCGGTTATTGGATGGGTGACCAATAATTACTATCTCGAGCTCCTCCGTGCTTCGGAAGGCACGTTAAGCCGTTGGTCCCGGCTGCATCTGCAGTCGTTAGCACCCACCAATCCGCACTGGGCCTGCGTGGTGGGTCATGGCCCAATCTCCCTATCCCATTCATAGGGAAGGCCTGTGCCCCAGCAGTGGGGATATTAATAGGCTGATGATGATGATGATGATGTATATTTGTCCGGGTGAAATCTTACAACTCCATTTTAAGGCACTTGCCCTCAACCGATTGAGCTGAAATTTGGTATGCACGTTCAGTTTGGATGACAATGCATGATTAACAGTATGGCGTCATTCTAACTCCAACATGGCGGCATACCCAAAATGGCGGACCGATCATTTTTAATGCATTCCTACTCCTACAATGTGGGTATCAAATTAAAGGGCTTGCTGAGAATAACTCGAAAATATTGTGACGTCACTTTTTTTCTTATTAGCGCATTTAAATAAAAGCTTGTTTTTCAAAAGGTTTTTTTAACTTAATTTTATCACATTAAATATTTCTAAAAGTATTCAAATCATAATGTACAGTATTATTTTTATACCTCTATTCCTAGTAGTTCCATGAAGCTAGTTCCACATGGAACTACTGAAACCTTAAAAAGAATATTTTGTACCATTACTTTCAACTTCCCAATTTTAATTTGAAAGGAAGATCTCTGCCTAACTATTTAAGTTGATGTTATGACAGATACGTTAATATGGTATATCTTGTAGAATACTTATGAATAAACATTTTGTAATTAACATAACCAGTAAATACTGACAATATGAACAAAGAATTATTTTATCCGTATCTCTAGGTTCATCGCACTAGCGTATTTTTTTAAATTTTCATTTATTATTAATTAAACAGTCGACAAAAGAACGGATCGTGGGCCAAAAACATTATTTTAATCTCGAAGGGCACATTAAACAGTTGGTCCCAAATGCATCTGCAGTCGTTAGCACCCACTATACCACAATTGAGGAGCTCGATGGCGCCAGTGGTTAACGCGTTCGGCTGCGGTCGTTGAAGTTGAGCAACTTTCGCAGTGTTCGGTCATTGGATGGGTGACCAAAATTTACTGTCTTGAGCTCCTCCGTGCTTCGGAAGGCCCGTTAAGCCGTTGGTCCCGGCTGTATCTGCAGTCGTTAGCACCCACCAACCCGCACTGGGCTCGCGTGGTGGGTCATGGCCCAATCTCCCTAATCCATCCATAGGGAAGGCCTGTGCTCCAGCAGTGGGGACATTAATAGGGTGATGATGATGATGATGATACCACAATTTGGAGTGCTTTGTGGGTCATGGCACATTCTCTTCTTTTCGTGCACATAGAGTGTCTGTGCTTCATCAATGGGGTGAGGACATAAATAATCTGATAATAATGACGATGCCGCAGGTTCCCACTTGAGCCCGAATGTGGTGTCGGTGCGCGTGGTGATGCTGTTCACTCTGCTCTCGTCGCTGTTCGTGTTCACGTCGTACTCCGCCAAGATCGTGGCCATCCTGCAGACGCCCAGCGACGCCATACAGACCATCGACGACCTCACCCGCTCGCCCATGGCGCTCGGCGTGCAGGAGACTACATACAAACGTGTCTACTTTGCTGTACGATTTATAAATTGAATTTTGGTTTTTATGTGAAAATTCTGTTACGGTAGCTGTGGGAACTGCTGTGCTATTTGGCGATACACAATGGCAAATGCATGCTTGAATAGTGGGTTTATAAAAGTACTATCGCGGAATTTTGCGCTCTGTCACTTGGCGAACAAAATGCTTTGAACGGTTTTCTACAGTAGTTTTTACTACGCCCCGCCTTCGCGTCGGACCCGCCAATCCGGGCCGCCGCACAAAAGTAAGACAGAGAGCATTTCATTGATTGAATTGCATTTATTTTAGTTACAATTTGTCATCCGCATCGTGATCGCGACAGCGCTATACGAAAAAGTAAGACAGCGATAATTACATGTCTATGAATGAATTTTTACTACGCCGCTACCGCAAGCGATTATGGCATTATGGGTGACAGAGCGGGTCTTTCCGCGAGTGTACCATAAATCTGTCAATATTTTAAAGAGCTTTTTCGGTGTAATGGTCACTCAAAAAAGCAGCAGCTCGAAATTTTTTTTGGTTCAACTTCAAGACAAAGCTATCAAACAATACCCAGCAAGTTGCTTCTCATTTAATGTTCTGTACGGAGTCCACCCTCCCGCAAAAATAGCGCAGTGCGGCAAAGAAACATTATAGTAATATAAGTTACTGGCGGCCCGCCCTCGCTTCGCTTCGGTGTAGAGCTGAAGTGTAGACTACAGTTTTTGTTCTCAGGCTTGTATTATACACAGTGACATTCATCTATGATTCTTCTTATACCTGCATGCAAAGTCTCAGCCCGATCGGTTTAAAATTGACAAAGTTTCATACAAACTTTCATTCCTTATTTTATCCCCTTGGGGGTAGAATTGATCAAAATCCTTTCTTAGCGGATGCCTACGTCATAACATCTACCTGCATGCCAAATTTCAGCCCGATCCGTCCAGTGGTTCGGGCTGTGCGTTGATAGATCACTATGTCAGTCAGTCACCTTTGAGTTTTATATATATAGACAGATATAGATTTGCGGGATTGTTACCATGTACTTGTTTTTAGCGAGTTTCCGATATTTCGGCACTGTTGCTAGCGCCATGATCACGGAGTAACTGGAGTCAATATCGGAAACTCGCCAAAAACAAGGTACATGGTAACAATCCCGTAAATAACTTATATTACTATAATGTTAGTGACCATGAAAGTTTAAAACAATAAGAAACACTATGTATCGGCCATCCTCACTTGGTTGCTTGTTGGCTTAACACCTGTTTCCTAACCAGTCCATATCTAACATCTAGAAAAAAGCGTTACTTATTGCTGTCTTCTGTAGTTTTCAGAAAGGTCTTCTCCAGACGGGTGATCCAATATGAAAGGAGAATTCCTGTTCATTTCATCATCATCATCATATCAGCCGTACGACGCCCGCTGCTGGACATAGGCCTCCCCCAAGGATCTCCACAACGATCGGTCCTGCGCTGCCCGCATCCAGCGTTTTCCCGCGACCTTCACCAGATCGTCGGTCCACCTTGTAGCGGACAACATCCTTGTCCTTTTTGTCGTTCATTTACTGTATAGTAAATGTGTTGTCTCAGGAAAGCAACGACCCGGCAACGCAGCGGCTGTACCGCCATAAGTTGTTGCCGCTGGGCGAGCGCGCCTACCTCAGCGTGGTGGACGGCGTCAACCGCCTGCGCACCGGCCTCTTCGCCTTCCAGGTCATTTACTGCAGTAGGCTCAAACATTCTAGCATTCATTTGTGGTAATGGGATGCGAACCAGAGTCACCGACATAGCCCACCGAATTAGCAAACTGAAGTGGCAGTGGGCTGGTCACATTAGCCGCAGAACTGACGGCCGATGGAGCCGTAAAGTTCTTGAGTGGAGACCGCGACTCGGTAAACGTAGTGTGGGACGCCCTGAGACAAGATGGGATGATGACATTCATAGGCTGGCTGGAGTGGGCTGGATGAGAGTGGCAGAAAATCGGGAGCTATGTCCAGCAGTGGACGAGCATGGGTCGATGATGATGATGATGAATGGGATGCGATTGATTCAAAGGAGAAATGGCGACTAGCGTTTAGTGTGGAAGGAATCAACTATTTGATATTATTATTTCATAAGACATCTTATATTTTACTTAAATAGGTATATTAACGATTAATCTAAATCGTTTCAGGAAGAATTATCTATTACTACTTAAAAGACCTGGTTTACACTTTACCACATAGTAAAACACTCTTTGATTAAGTAAGATCATCTTGGAGCGGAGCTTATAGGGTATCCTAAAATATCAAGAATGATGTAAAAACTAATAAAAGGCGCATTATAACACTTCATAAAGTGTTATACTAAATGATTGGTGTGCGTGAATACATGTTATAGCACCGAGATTACTAGTCATCGAACATATAAGATTTCTGTTGTGCGAATGATCCAGGTGGAGGAGAGCTCGGGGTACGACATCATCAGTAAGACGTTCACGGAGAGCGAGAAGTGCGGACTTCAGCGGATACAGGCGTTCAAACTGCCCATGGTCGCCATTCCGATACGGAGACTGTCCGGGTATCGCGATCTTCTCGCAGCAAGGTCGGTCTTACTCATTATACCTTATGTTTATCTTTATATATATAATTCTTCTGTGAGTGTGTATGTCACTGAACTTCTCTTAAACGACTGGACCGATTTTGATGAAATTTTTTGAGTGTGTTCAAGGGGATCTGAGAATGGTTTAGATTCACAAAGACGTGTAGACAGGACAACGTCTGTCGGGTCCGCTAGTTATACCTATAATAAATTTCTTCTGGAAACCATAAAAAGAGGCTAAAGCTGTGAAACGTGCGTAAAACCTCATCATGTACATTTATGTAGATGAGACATGGACATTTTTCAAGATAAACGTCTGAATATTAGGAGGCGGAGCATTTTAGATTAAAATAGATTTTTCCAAAAGTTAAGAAGATTTAACGGTAAAATCATGCTTAGTAGGTTTAGTTTAATTTTATTTTTTGTCTTTCTGTTTTCTTAAGAAATATAAGTTAATCTGATTACCTATTAAATCGTGCAATCATCAGGCAGAAAAGTCAGATAGAGACGAAGCTCCAACTCAGAAGATCGAGTGCCCAGTAGTGCACATCACGTTCGAATTTATTTGACAGCTGTCTGAGGAATACTCAGTCCATTCTCTCTTTTTGAAGTGAAACTTCTTTATCGGCGTTGGAAAAAAATTTACCGTCACATTTTTCGGTTACGCGTCACATTTTGCCGTTACGCGCCATCTTTTTTTATAATAATAGTTGATAGCTGAATGATCACACTGTCGCCGGCGAGAACTCTCTCTACTCGTTTGTAGCTGAGTGACAATAGTTATTAAAGATAAGACTTACTCAGCCAAACTCGCATAGCGATACTCGCTCAGCGATACTCACTCAGCGATACTCGCTCAGCGATACTCGCTCAGCGATACTCGCTCAGCGATACTCGCTCAGCGATACTCGCTCAGCTATACTCGCCCAGCGATACTGGCTCAGCGATACTCGCTCAGCTATACTCGCTCGGTTAAGCTGGCTTGGCTGTCAAAAGCCGTGCGCGTGCATTTTAACTCAGGACTGCCAATTCGTTTCTAGTTTCTACTCACTTATCGTTCATCGTCGGAGGTGGAACATGTGCCTTAGATTACTGAGCCGTGTAATCATAACAGTTTCATAGGCAGTAATTTGTATTCATGTCTATGATAATAAAATCCTTTTGTTTAAACTTTATCTAATTTAACTTTATTTAACCAATTTCTGGAAAGTTGCATGTAGATCATTTTTCGAAAAATAAGGCCATAAAGAAGTTTCACTTCTTACGTGTGTACACTAGTACACGCACACATTTTTTTTTCTTTGGTTGTGAGTGAACAAGTGACTATCTTGTAATTTGCGAGTTTACGATGCAGGTTGCGCTGGCAGCGTGAGGTAGGCGTGATGGGGCGATGGCGCCACGTGTGGCTGGCGGAGCGCACCCGGTGCATGGCGGCCGGCACCGGGTTCGTGAGCGTGCGCCTCAACGACGTGTGGCCCGCGCTGCAGGCAATACTGTCCCACTGACGTCACAACTAGGGCCATATGTGTGGCTGCGGGCCGCACCCGGTGCATGGCGGCCGGCACCGGGTTCGTGAGCGTGCGCCTCAACGACGTGTGGCCCGCGCTGCAGGCAATACTGTCCCACTGACGTCACAACTAGGGCCATATGTGTGGCTGCGGGCCGCACCCGGTGCATGGCGGCCGGCACCGGGTTCGTGAGCGTGCGCCTCAACGACGTGTGGCCCGCGCTGCAGGCAATACTGTCCCACTGACGTCACAACTAGGGCCATATGTGTGGCTGCGGGCCGCACCCGGTGCATGGCGGCCGGCACCGGGTTCGTGAGCGTGCGCCTCAACGACGTGTGGCCCGCGCTGCAGGCAATACTGTCCCACTGACGTCACAACTAGGGCCATATGTGTGGCTGCGGGCCGCACCCGGTGCATGGCGGCCGGCACCGGGTTCGTGAGCGTGCGCCTCAACGACGTGTGGCCCGCGCTGCAGGCAATACTGTCCCACTGACGTCACAACTAGGGCCATATGTGTGGCTGCGGGCCGCACCCGGTGCATGGCGGCCGGCACCGGGTTCGTGAGCGTGCGCCTCAACGACGTGTGGCCCGCGCTGCAGGCAATACTGTCCCACTGACGTCACAACTAGGGCCATATGTGTGGCTGCGGGCCGCACCCGGTGCATGGCGGCCGGCACCGGGTTCGTGAGCGTGCGCCTCAACGACGTGTGGCCCGCGCTGCAGGCAATACTGTCCCACTGACGTCACAACTAGGGCCATATGTGTGGCTGCGGGCCGCACCCGGTGCATGGCGGCCGGCACCGGGTTCGTGAGCGTGCGCCTCAACGACGTGTGGCCCGCGCTGCAGGCAATACTGTCCCACTGACGTCACAACTAGGGCCATATGTGTGGCTGCGGGCCGCACCCGGTGCATGGCGGCCGGCACCGGGTTCGTGAGCGTGCGCCTCAACGACGTGTGGCCCGCGCTGCAGGCAATACTGTCCCACTGACGTCACAACTAGGGCCATATGTGTGGCTGCGGGCCGCACCCGGTGCATGGCGGCCGGCACCGGGTTCGTGAGCGTGCGCCTCAACGACGTGTGGCCCGCGCTGCAGGCAATACTGTCCCACTGACGTCACAACTAGGGCCATATGTGTGGCTGCGGGCCGCACCCGGTGCATGGCGGCCGGCACCGGGTTCGTGAGCGTGCGCCTCAACGACGTGTGGCCCGCGCTGCAGGCAATACTGTCCCACTGACGTCACAACTAGGGCCATATGTGTGGCTGCGGGCCGCACCCGGTGCATGGCGGCCGGCACCGGGTTCGTGAGCGTGCGCCTCAACGACGTGTGGCCCGCGCTGCAGGCAATACTGTCCCACTGACGTCACAACTAGGGCCATATGTGTGGCTGCGGGCCGCACCCGGTGCATGGCGGCCGGCACCGGGTTCGTGAGCGTGCGCCTCAACGACGTGTGGCCCGCGCTGCAGGCAATACTGTCCCACTGACGTCACAACTAGGGCCATATGTGTGGCTGCGGGCCGCACCCGGTGCATGGCGGCCGGCACCGGGTTCGTGAGCGTGCGCCTCAACGACGTGTGGCCCGCGCTGCAGGCAATACTGTCCCACTGACGTCACAACTAGGGCCATATGTGTGGCTGCGGGCCGCACCCGGTGCATGGCGGCCGGCACCGGGTTCGTGAGCGTGCGCCTCAACGACGTGTGGCCCGCGCTGCAGGCAATACTGTCCCACTGACGTCACAACTAGGGCCATATGTGTGGCTGCGGGCCGCACCCGGTGCATGGCGGCCGGCACCGGGTTCGTGAGCGTGCGCCTCAACGACGTGTGGCCCGCGCTGCAGGCAATACTGTCCCACTGACGTCACAACTAGGGCCATATGTGTGGCTGCGGGCCGCACCCGGTGCATGGCGGCCGGCACCGGGTTCGTGAGCGTGCGCCTCAACGACGTGTGGCCCGCGCTGCAGGCAATACTGTCCCACTGACGTCACAACTAGGGCCATATGTGTGGCTGCGGGCCGCACCCGGTGCATGGCGGCCGGCACCGGGTTCGTGAGCGTGCGCCTCAACGACGTGTGGCCCGCGCTGCAGGCAATACTGTCCCACTGACGTCACAACTAGGGCCATATGTGTGGCTGCGGGCCGCACCCGGTGCATGGCGGCCGGCACCGGGTTCGTGAGCGTGCGCCTCAACGACGTGTGGCCCGCGCTGCAGGCAATACTGTCCCACTGACGTCACAACTAGGGCCATATGTGTGGCTGCGGGCCGCACCCGGTGCATGGCGGCCGGCACCGGGTTCGTGAGCGTGCGCCTCAACGACGTGTGGCCCGCGCTGCAGGCAATACTGTCCCACTGACGTCACAACTAGGGCCATATGTGTGGCTGCGCTGACCCAATAGACAGCACGATCTGGCTACGATTGTTAAAATCAAGCAACTTTCGCAATGGCCGACTAGTCGTTGGATGTGTGATTTATTACTCGAGCTCCTCGGTGCCTCGGAAGATACGTTAGTCCCAGCTGCATGTGCAGTCTTTAGCACCCACCAATCCGCACTGGTAATAAATGATAGTAAGTCATGGCCCTTTCACCTATATCTGACTGGATTTGCTGACTTTGCCGATATGGTACAAGTTCTCCCGCCGCAGATTTAAGAATCGATTGCATAGTTTTAACAATCATATGTGCTTACTACATTAACTATCTTCAGTTATCACTACATAGATCACTACATAGGGACAGAGAAAGCGACTTTGTTTTATACTATATAAAACAAAGTCGCTTTCTCTGTCCCTATGTCCCTTTGTATGCTTAAATCTTTGAAACTACGCAACGGATTTTGATGCGGTTTTTTTAATAGATAGAGTGATTCAAGAGGAAGGTTTATATGCATAATACATGCATAATATAGTAGAGAAATACTGATAATTTTAGAGGTTTTTAATGTAAGGTCGTAAATAAACACATTTTTTGTGGTTACATTGCAAACGTTGGCTGAACCCTACGAGATAGATAAAAATAATGTACTACAGTATTGTACACTGTAAAAAGATCTACAAAAAAGACCGCGATGGTATATGTCTATCTCTTAGGGATAACCCACAATAACCATTTTTTATCCTATACTTTTTACGAGAAATGATAGATTATTTACGAAGCGATTTTCAGCATTAAAACATTCATACTTATCCAATTAAGTACTTTTAATACATTGTGCATTTAATATAGACCAATTAAGCCCTTTAACGCATGTAATTTAAATTAATATTTTCGAAGATATTATAGATTTAAAATGCAGGGACATAGCAGTTTCGACGCTCCCGGGCAGGGAGCTCGGCGGCGCGTTTCTATTGTAATTAGGTATTAGAAGAATGTCATTGTGTATAATACAAGCCTGAGAACAAACACTATAGCCAACACTACAGCTCTACACCGAAGCGAAGCGAGGGCGGGCCACTGGTTATGAATAAAATCCACGTGTATCTATCTGAATGGATTTAGACGATCTTATAAATACCATTTATAAGAACAGCACAAACTTTACAAATAATGAAAAAATATTCTTATTTTTAGGTGGTGATCGGGGGTACTATCGTATCTATTCTGCTGCTCATGGCTGAAATAATTGTAAAGCGCGTCAGAACTGCGTTGAAGGTAACATATATATAGCATCTTAGCTTCTTTCCTGTAGATCAGAGGTTCCCATACTTTTTTATGTCGTAGACCTTTTGCATGTTTTTTGGTTTTGGGTAGACCCCTACTTACCTGATATTGATTTTTTGTAAATTTCTATCTGGAGGGAAGTTAGTGTAACAAGATGATATTGGTTTATCATTATGTGCAGGTTTATACAACTTCAAAATGTATTGCGACCACAAAGCGAATATCTTACAACTTACAAAATTTTATAAACATACATAATATTTTCTATTATTTCATAGGTACTTTTAAAAATAATGTATATGTATTTTTAATAGAAGATAGCATAATGTAAGTAAATAAGTACTATCAGTGTATGTTGAGATCCATTATCGTGGACCACCATTTTCATTTCATGGACCCCCAAATTTTTTTTTCGCTGACGTAGACCCCTTGCAGTTCGTCATAGACCCCTAGGGGTCGATATGGACCACTTTGGGAATCACTGCTCTAGATCTAGAATACACAGGATCTAGAGGATATGTAAAGTGAAGATTTGTTCAAGTATCTAATTCACATAGTTACTGACGCCTACACATCTAGAATATTTTGTCTGTTCTCAGTCGTAGTATTCTCAATGTAGGGGCCGTTACTAGAACCCTAACGACTGTCAATATGTCAATTGGTCACGGGACGATTGTCAGGAGATAATTATTAAAATACGTACGCCTTTATTGCACTGTCATATAATCTATACTTATAATAAATCTGTAGAGAGGTCAATTCTGTACATGAAATATATTTTAAAAAAAACTATCAGGGGGTGATTAGTGATCGATACTGATGCCAAAAATGCAATCAGTAAAATTTTTGTCTGTCTGTCTGTCTGTGTGTATGTTCCTTATAGAAACAAAAACTACTCGACGGATTTTAACGAAACTTGGTACAATTATTCTTCATACTCCTGGGCAGGTTATAGTATACTTTTCATCACGCTACAATCAATAGGAGCAGAGTAGTGAAGGGAAATGTTGGGAAAACGGGAGAAGTTACTCCATTTTTTAAGCTTCCGTCGCGTGCGCAGCCTTGATGGTTAAAGTTACATAGAAATCATGTATCACGGAAATATTCTACATAAAATTGTCTAAAAAATATCCTGCAACAGCATATGTCTATCTTTTATGGTTTACTCACAATAATACGTGTAACTCCTGATAGCTTAGCAGTTCGGAGCATTCTGATTATAGGTATTTGTTTACTCTTACGTTTATAATACCGAAATTTTTTGTGTGTGTTCAAGGGGATCTGAGAATGGTTTAGATTCACAATTTTGTCCGCTGGACAACCCCTATTTTTTGGGGCGGCACGAAGTTCGCTGGGTCAGCTAGTATAAGTATATTTATATAGAAATGCTCGTATTCATCACACAAACATCTGCCCCCACCGGGATTTGAACCCGGGACCTGACGAGTTGGCGACACCATGAAACCCGGCGTACAAACCACTCGGCCACGGAGGTCGTCATTTAAAAGTACCAGTTGGTAATTTATGGGAGCTCGATATCCCAACACTGCAAGTGATTAACCCATTTTGTCTTTAGGATTGGTGATCAAAAAGTGAGGAGCTCGATGGCGCAAGTGGTGATGGTTAGCACGTTCGGTTGCGATCGTTGAAATTAAGCAATTTTCGCAGTGGTCGGTCATTGGATGGGTGACCAAAAATTTACTATCTCGAGCTCCTCCGTGCACGGAAGGCACGTTAAGCCGTTGGTCCCGGCTGCATCTGCAGTCGTTAGCATCCAGTAATCGGCACTGGGCCCGCGTGGTGGGTCATGGCCCAATCTCCCTCATCCATCCATAAGGAAGGCTTGTGCCCCAGCAGTGGGGACATTAATAGGCTAGTGATGTGATCAAAAATGTATTATCCTGAGTTCCTCCGTGCGCCGGAAGACTCGCAGAAACGTCAGTCCCGGCTGCGTCTGCAGCCGTTAGCACCCACCTATCCACACTGGGCCCGCGTGGTAGGTCATGGCCATACTCCCTATTTCATCCATAAGGAGGGCCTCAGCAGTTAGACGATGATGAGTAGTAAACTTCAACAGGTAGGCAGGGCTCTAAAAGAAAAAAACCTATTAAAAATACACGTTATTGCGACAATAATAATATTAATTGGATTTCTTGAAGAATAATTTGACAATGGTGGAGCTCGATGGCGCAACTGGTTAGCGCGTTCGGCTGCGATCGTTGAAGTTAAGCAACTTTCGCAGTGGTCGGTCATTGGATGGGTGACCAAAAAGTTACTATCTCGAGCTCCTCCGTGCTTCGGAAGGCACGTTAAGCCGTTGGTCCCGGCTGCATCTGCAGTCGTTAGCACCCACCAAATCGCACCGCGTGGTGGATCATGGCCCAATCTCCCTATTCCATCCATAGGGAAGGCCTGTGCCCCAGCAGTGGGGACATTAATAGGCTGATGATGATGCGAATCATGTTTGAGCATTATATTTTAATATAACATCTATTGATTGTACATATTATGTTTCTTGTAAATAAATATATGAATGAATGATACAATTTCAAATGTCTTCGGCGCAACCGAAACTTCTTATGAGACTTATTGATAGAAAAGTTCACTTATTTTTAGATGACGAAACAAAATACAAGGAACGAAGATGCAGCGGGATTGCGAAGTAAAACAAAATGAATCTTAAAAGTCAATTTATTGTTAAAGATAGTATGCAACTATTTACAAACACAGAATGTTCACTTTGAGCACGTTTCCTTGAGATGACTTTGAATCTATTGCAGGCTTTATATATCAACACTGTTCTAAGCACCGCCTACTCTTATTAACAATATCATTTTTTTTAATGCAACTAAATTGTATTTTATATGCTTGATATTCTATAATAGCACTCCTACTGTGCGAGAACGTTGTTAAAATTATTTCATTTTCGCTGACTGTACTACTACTTTTTAGTTACCGAGTGCTTTAATAAAGTAAATGTGCATCAAAATAAGTGTTTTATTGACCCTCGCGTTTGATGGTTACTAAGTTACTAATAAAACGTAAGTTTCATGATAAAGTATACATTTGTAAAGTTACGATATTGTGACATTTCATTTATATGTACGTTAGTATGAACAATATTACTCAATGGTTTTATTTCATTCTCATACCCCAATTATGACAAGTTAGCGCCTGACGTAGTTTTCGTCATGTTTCTCGTGTTTCTCACTTACAAAAACTCAATGCATGCATTCTAAAATTGTTTGTATTCGACTTTTTGTTACTTGAATTAAATAAATAAAAAAATATCTTACTAAAGCTTTTCAGATCTGTTGCAATATAATCATAATATAATAATAAAAATGTGTTTATTGTTCCAGCGCCTCTAGCATGACCACCGAAACGGGATATGATAAAGCGATATTATATCGGCATCAACTATCAGACTACTGTCAAACTCCACTGTAGTCTGACAGTTAATGCCGTTATATCGCTTTCGTATACCCCGTATCGGTGGTCATGCTAGAGGGGCCTATCTTCATTATGGTAGTCCCTGGTATTTCAGTGGGATTAGATGTCAGAATGTGCGCTCAACCTTCTCCAATGGCAAAGAGTCTATCAACAACTTATTCGATGCGATTTTCCGTTTCATAATCGTTGACACCGCCATCGAAAATTAATCTTCAGTAGCTGTTAAAAATCTTCCTACAATAATTCAAATAAAACTGAAATAAATTTAAAGCTTAAAAGTAGTTACAGCCTTTTTTGTTTGCCAAAAAGAAGTCTTCCGGACTTACGTTTTAGAAGTAAAAATCGTTCATAAGAGTTTTATTTAACCTTTCCAACGCAAGTTTTCTGCTAAACGGTGTTAGTATCAAACTTTGTCAATAGTCTTCAAGTTTCACAGTAATCGTCGGCGGCGGGTCAGGTGCCGCTAGTATGGGCGGGCCAGGTACAGGCGAGGCTAAACGGAACAGTGTCTGAAGCACCCGATAACGTACAAACGGTTTCGAGATCGCTTCTAGGGTCAGCTACAGATAGACGCAGATGCAGATGAAGAGTGCCAGCAGCAGCGCGGCGCACAGCACGTAGTCCAGGAGTGTGCCCAGCACCGCCCACGCGCCTACCTGCGCCTGCGCACACGTCTCCTGCACACAAAACTTATTTTATACTGGCGGCCCGCCCTCGCTTCGCTTCGGTGTAGAGCTGAAGTGTAGACTACAGTTTTTGTTCTCAGGTCTGTATTATACACAATGACATTCATCTATGATTCTTCTTATACCTGCATGCAAAGTCTCAGCCCGATCGGTTTCAATTGACAAAGTTTCATACAAACTTTCATTCCCTATTTTATCCCCTTGGGGGTAGAATTGATAAAAATCCTTTCTTAGCGGATGCCTACGTCATAACATCTACCTGCATGCCAAATTTCAGCCCGATCCGTCCAGTGGTTTGGGTTGTGCGTTGATAGATCACTATGTCAGTCAGTCACCTTTGGGTTTTATATACGAGTATATAGACTTAACTCAGCACGCGGGCCTTTGATTTTTAACATTTGTAACATGTGTGCTATTATTACCCCAGCGCCTTCTAGATAACGCCCGGTCAAAAATATGTTGGGAAGTGGCATTCGGTACCCCCCCACAGCGCAACACACACACCACACCATAGGTAAGGCCACCGCCGCTGCAATGATGGGTCCTTACGATTGCGATCCAGCAGTCTATTACTTTGGAAGCATTTAGGAATTTAACTGTGTTTTTTATTATACTTTTTATTTTGATTATGTTATTTTATCCTCAGCTGATTAGCTTTTATGGAGTCATGTTAATAATTGCGATCAATGTCTATTCCATTCTATCTAACCGTGATAGAGGAGAGTGGACTACCACGCAATAAAGGAACACAAAGCAGCAGAGATCCTTAAACGACTGCTTGGATTCCTAGCGAAGAGAAGGTATTGCGGATTCGAGCACTCGACTTCTGCGAAAGTAACTATCACCTCTCAGAAGCACAGAGTCAGATTTGGTGAAACAGTTTTAGGCGCTTTGCAGACGACGGGGCGGGGCGGGCTTTTTGTCCGCGAAGCAATAAAAACCGCGTCTGCCCGTCGATGTCTGCGGCTGCCCTCGCCGCGTACACAAAGCACACGACGGGCAGAGGCAGTCTGTTCAGAACGTTCGTTCTAGTGAATAGTCCATCACTAAAAAGCGCGTGGCGCGGAGTGAGCTAGCCGCCGTCTGCGTTACTGCATATAAACTGGTCTGTATAATCCACGGCGGGCAGCCGCGGACATGCCGCGCCGCCAGTGCCCGCCGGACACCCAAGGCACGGTAATATTATCTATACAGTATTGTGACTCCGCCCTGTCCTTGAAAATAAATGCCTACACCGAACGCTGCGTTGGCACGCGGTAGGGCCGCCAGCCTACAGTATTTTATGTAGTTTTGTTTTTAACGCGAGTGTAGGTAGATTACTCGTTTGTCTCTTTTTTCATCCTAACCACTTATTTATATATTATTCCAGATATTTTGCCCGATGGAAAAACCGAAATACCTAAATATTAGAAACAAATAACGTACTAGTAGATAGGTATATAAAAAATATTCTATAAAGGTAAGACACCTTTCCAATATTTCAGGTAATTTAAAAAATGATATCTCTGGGTGTGTTATTGAAGAGTTCAAGCAACCAAAAACAGCAATTGTGCTGTTGTACGATATTGATCGTCGTTTGTTCTTTTCCATACTAAATTATGTAGGTATCTACATAATTAAATCAAATATTTACAATACAAAACGCATGTTTAAGCACGGCTAACTGCATAAAAAACAATTCAGACCGTTCGTTCGGTCGTCGTTGCGGCGTGGCGGCGCATTCGCGACTGGGTGCACGCCGAGAGCACATCGAACTCGAGTGGCGTAGGTATGACTCGCTTTCCGACCGTTTGTATGAAGATAGAATACTGTATGATATTATTACCGTGCCCAAGGCGCGGTCTTTTTGCCCTCTGTGTGCGTTTATAGTATAGGATTCACTTTGTGCTATCGTTCGCGGCGAAATTGACCGGCCCGCTCCGCCCCGCCGTCTGCAAAGCGCCTTATAAGCGAATTGTTGTGGGGATGGTCAGTGACCGCTAGCGTGTTACCTCACTAGGAGCGAGATTGCAGCAGCGGCCAGCGGTAGCGGCGAGAGCTCGCAGCGCGGCGGGGGGTTGCGATGCGCGCGCCGCAAGTCGCGCCGCCACCGCCGCCGCCGCCGCTGCCGCCGCCGCGCACACGCACACCGCACACATCACTCCCAGCGCGCGCGGCGCTGAAGCCCCACCCGGCACCCGTAATGCCGCTGACACTAACCTGCAAACGGACAACGATGCACTTTTACCCATTCGAGTGAGGAAATTCTCGCATCCAAAAGTTCGTTGAAAATATCCTTACTTTCGTCGATCGTTGAAAATATCCTTACTTTCGTCGATCGTTGAAAATATCCTAACTTTCGTCGATCGTTGAAAATATCCTAACTTTCGTCGATCGTTGAAAATATCCTAACTTTCGTCGAACGTCCCTGTTTCCGATTTTTTTAATTGGGAATTTTTTGATTAAGAAATTCCTCAAATGCGATTTAGAATCTTCGGCCTTGCCCTATTCTAAAGTTCTGGGCGCGCTGATGTCTACGAGTTGCTTACATATCTGTGATAGTTAACCCCTCAGTACATAATGGAGTAAAAAAATTAAGGATCACTTTAAGTAAAATAAATACCTAATACCTCATGTTAGGCGGGCGGGAAACCTGCGCCCTTCGCTATTCGGCAGATGCACTAACCTCCATAGTATTGAGACCATAAAGACGTGTACGGACCACCTGCAGCACCTCCCAGCTGCAAGGCAGCGCTGACTTCTAATCCGGCAGAGCCCAAAAAGTGCGAGGTGTCGAGCCGTTAAGGGCATAATAAGTAATACAAGAGAAGCGCTATGGCGCAAGTGGTTAGCGCGTTCGGCTGCGATCGTTGAAGTTAAGCAACTTTCGCAGTGGTCAGTCATTGGATGGGTGACCAACAATATACTATCTCGAGCTCCTCCGTGCTTCGGAAGGCACGTTAAGCTGTCGGTCCCGGCTGCATCTGCAGTCGTTAGCACCCACCAATCCGCACTGGGTCCGCGTGGTGTGTCATGGCCCAATCTCCCTATTCCATCCATAAGAAAGGCCTGTGCCTCAGCAGTGGGGACATTAATAGGCTGATGATGATAATAAATAAATAAATAATCAATAAATATTTCCAACACTCACACCAATTAGCCTAGCCCAAAGTAAGCACTATAAGGCTTGTGTTATGGGATACTAGGGTAACGGATAGAATACATATATTTTACATATATAAGTACATTTTTTTTTATAGAAATACATATTAAACATCCATGACTGGAGTACAAAACTCGTGTTCATCACACAAACATCTGCCCCCACCGGGATTCAAACCCGGGACTTCTCGAGTCTGCGACGCCATGAAACCCGGCGTACAAACCACTCGGCTCCGAGGTCGTCATGATGATGATGAAGTGATACAAACGCACCACAAGGTGGCTGTAAATGAGGCGCAGGCGCAGAGAGGCGGCCTGGTGGAGGCTGGCAGAGCGATGGCGGCGACCAGCAGTAACACGGCGCTGGTGAGCACGGCGCTCGCAGCCGCCTCGTGCGCCGCCGCGCGCCGCCGCAGACGCACCGCCCACGCCGCCAGCCGTCGCCCTCCCGTCGTCGACACGCCGCCCGCCAGCGGCGACAACAGCTCCCATTCACCAGCTTCGAACACCACCGTCGGCTGCAAAACACGAGATATAAGAACAAGCTTGCCGTCAGTGGCGGCGCTAGGCGTCGGCGTCGTCGGCCACCGCCGACGGCCTCGCGCCTGACGGGGCCTCGCAAAAAATTTTTAGAAGGTACCTTATTATTTTCGTTTCTCCTGGCCTGGCTTAGGTAGCCGACCCCGAACAATTCGGGGAAAAAGCTAAGCAGATGATAATGACTTTTAATATTTTCGAACACGTGCGTGATGGAAGCGAGTAGTACTTTACAGGTATTCAGAATCGTCTGTCTGGCAACACTATTTTTGTAATTAAATTTCTATGTTTGTAATTATTTTTTGTCATCATTTGATTATCAACAATAAAACTCGTTTACTCATACGTTATTTTATTATTTGGCTCGCTTAATTTAACGGTTTTTTACTGCGAAGTAAAATAGGCCTCGCGAACTTGATGTCGCCGACGTCCACATGTGGTCTAGCGCCGCCACTGCTTGCCGTTCCATGTTTCAGACTCCAAAAATCAAGAGGTTCATGTCTGGGATGTAGTATTGCATTGTTTAACAAAGTACCCTAAGATCTGATTGAGCTTCCACTAACCAAATTTAAATCTCAGATCAAGAATACTCTTATGAATAAGGGCTATTATAAAGTTAATGATCATCTAAATGATCGTAATGCATGGACATAGTGTTTCTTGTAATTTCTTATTTGATGAGTATGAGTCAGTTTTGTAATAGTAATATGGTACCTATCTAATGCCGCTTCCTATATACTAAATATAAAATTTATTGTAACTATATATCTTTATCCTAAATAATGTAATGGAAGGTGACTTCAGAAGTATGTCTGAAGTCATTTTTCAACTTGACGACTCTGTATACATCAATACAGGGAGAAAAAAACAGCCCTTGCTGAGTTTCTTGCCGGTTCTTCTCAGTACAAGGTCTCCCGCCGTAGTTTTGCGAACCGATGGTGTAGCTTCTTGACCTTCACAAGTGCTTGTAACAGCCTAGACTGAATAAATGACTTTTCATTTCATTTCATTTCATATCAAAATAAATTATAGGACATTTCAGATATGTTAACACCATCAGCCTACAAATGCGAGCCCTCCCTATGGATAGAATAAGGGGAATTAAACCATATCCCACAACGAGAACCCAATGCGTGGGTGCCAACGACTTGAGATGAAGCCCCCAAGACATAATAAGTTTTTGGTTACCCATCCAATGCCCGGCCACTGGGAAAGTTACTTAACTTGCACGATCGCAAGCCCAACGCACTAATAAATCAGCGCTATCGAGCTCCTATTACATTTATTGTTGCTGTGCACGGCGGACAAAAATCTGGAAGAGGACAGTGGAACTTGGCGAAAGATCCGTAGACTGCACCGTTAAGAGCAATAGTTGTCGGCTGGACGGCTCCTGCTAGGTAATACGGTGCTGAATAGAGCACAGACCTTAATTTCATATAGAGTTTGATTTAAGCTAAAAATGTTCGGTGTATCCTTACCAAAATATCATCTATTAGCAAATCCAGTTCGTCTGCAAGTTGTGTTCTCGACCCGAATTTGAATACAGCCGTCTGGACGTCCTCGGGCCAGTCCCGTAGTTCGAGCGTTACCGGCACGGCGGCGTCGAAGCGCTGCACCCACGCTAGCGCGCCGTCGTGGGCCGCGCGCACGTTGAGCGACGCCTGCGCGGTACCGGCGCCGTTTAGCAGCTCCACTGCAGGCAGCCACAGCCGGTCCGGCGACGCCAGCACGCTCTCGCAGCCCCACTCGCTCGCATTCCACACGATACGGGGATCGTGCCATGACTGAAATGTTTATTTCGATCTGACAATTACTTAAGCGATTGGAAACCTATAAGTACGTCAGTCATTCAAAACTATAGAAGTTAAATAAATAAATATTTTCAACACTCACACTAATTAGCCTAGCCCCAAAGCACGGTAATATTATCATCTATACAGTATTGTGACTCCGCCCTGTCCTTGAAAATAAATGCCTACACCGAGCGCTGTGTTGGCACGTGGTAGGGCCGCCAGCCTACAGTATTTTATGTAGTTTTGTTTTTAACGCGAGTGTAGGTAGATCGTTTGTCTCTTTTTTCATCCTAACCACTTATTTATATATTATTCCAGATATATAAATTTTGCCCGATGGAAAAACCGAAATACCTAAATATTAGAAACAAATAACGTACTAGTAGATAGGTATATAAAAAATATTCTATAAAGGTAAGACACCTTTCCAATATTTCAGGTAATTTAAAAAATGATATCTCTGGGTGTGTTATTGAAGAGTTCAAGCAACCAAAAACAGCAATTGTGCTGTTGTACGATATTGATCGTCGTTTGTTCTTTTCCATACTAAATTATGTAGGTATCTACTTAATTAAATCAAATATTTACAATACAAAACGCATGTTTAAGCACGGCTAACTGCATAAAAAACAATTCAGAGCACATCGAACTCGAGTGGCGTAGGTATGACTCGCTTTCCGACCGTTTGTATGAAGATAGAATACTGTATGATATTATTACCGTGCCCAAAGTAAGCACTGTAGGCTTGTGTTATAGGATACTTGTGTAACGGATAGGAACTGATAAATTTAAAAGTATATTTATATAGAATATTAGTACATATTAAACATCCATGACTGGAGTACAATGCTCGTATTCATCACACAAACATCTGCCCCCATCGTTGCGGAGGTCGTCAAAACCCTCTATGTATCAATTTTACATATAAATATCGCTGAAGCGTCAACCAAACCTCTAACTATAATAGTTCATTAATATCGCCACTGCTGTGGCACAGGCCTTCCCTATGGATGAAACGGGAAGATTGAGACCTCCGCAAACCAATCGCGCTAAATTCAGGGCCGTAGCCAGCCAGAGTTGTATTTAAGATAGGGCAGCGGTAATTACAGGTAGGGCATAAGTAGGGGCGCACCGGCCTTTGTAGCCTGTCGCTCCGTTTTAATATAGGGCATCGCCCCATAATACGTCTAGCTACGCCCAAAGCTAGTACTACTTGCGCTCCTCTAACTTAAAAAAAATGTGTGCGTGTACTAGTGTACACACGTAAGAAGTGAAACTTCTTTATGGCCTTATTTTTCGAAAAATGATCTACATGCAACTTTCCAGAAATTGGTTAAATAAAGTTAAATTAGATAAAGTTTAAACAAAAGGATTTTATTATCATAGACATGAATACAAATTACTGCCTATGAAACTGTTATGATTACACGGCTCAGTAATCTAAGGCACATGTTCCACCTCCGACGATGAACGATAAGCGAGTAGAAACTAGAAACGAATTGGCAGTCCTGAGTTAAAATGCACGCGCACGGCTTTTGACAGCCAAGCCAGCTTAACCGAGCGAGTATAGCTGAGCGAGTATCGCTGAGCGAGTATCGCTGAGAGAGTATCGCTGAGCGAGTACCGCTGAGCGAGTACCGCTGAGCGAGTATCGCTATGCGAGTTTGGCTGAGCGAGTCTTATCTTTAATAACTATTGTCACTCAGCTACAAACGAGTAGAGAGAGTTCTCGCCGGCGACAGTGTGATCATTCAGCTATCAACTATTAATATAAAAAAAGATGGCGCGTAACGGAAAAATGTGACGCGTAACCGAAAAATGTGACGGTAAATTTTTTTCCAACGCCGATAAAGAAGTTTCACTTCAAAAAAACACGCAAGTACTGATTGCCCGTAACTCAAATTGAACATAAGTCTTAGATGGCGAGTTCCATATTATGCGGACACGCTATGGTTCTTAAAAAGCGCACACTACCAGCGTGAGGTCTGCGAGGAAGTGCACGGTGCCATCTTGCCGCATCGCCGCGTGTCGCAGGTCAAACACAAGCCGCACACGCGCGGGCTGCGCCGGCGCACTGCCTCGGTCGTATTCCGCCAGCAAGCTGTCTAGCTGCTGCGACAGAGCCGACACATTGCTACAGCCCGCAGCTCGGCCTGCCGTTACCGAGAAAGGTATAATGCAGATCAAATCTTGTTTTTTTAAAAGAAAGTAATATAGGCAACGATAGCGTAGCTTTTCGACATTCATTAGTGCTTGTAACAGCCTGACTGAATAAATGATATTTAATTTCGAACGGTGAACTTTTTGAGCTAAAACACAGATAAATTCAAATCGTTTATATTTATATAGGCTGTGACAAACTTTTGTGAGTCGAGAAGCTACGCTATCGGTTTGCAAATCTACGGTGGGGGTGAGGGGGTGAGGAGTGAGTGAGAGACCTGCTACTGAGACGAAATAAAAACTTACAATTTTGGTTCTTTTATATTGTAAAATGGCTACTGCCCAGGCTTCTTTGTCCATGGTTTAGTCAAAGAAGTTTTCTGGGGTGTATACCACACAGAAAGAACAATTCATAGGTGTGTAATAGTGGGTCACCTAATGGTAATGTGATGCTATAGCGTCGCCTCATCATCATCATCAGCTTCAGCAGTTATCAGCAATGATAACTGCTGAAGTAACTACCAGGAATACAAGCAAGGAGGCTTGCTTCTACGTTGTTCAAGATTCAAGATAATGTTGGTAATGTTAGCCATCCATTGTATGGTGGACCTTTGTGATGAAATAGAGTTGGGCGTCTTTTCTTCTGTTAATGACAGTTTTGTGGTTGCGACATCTACATGCCCCACATATAATGAACATAGAGGAAATAGTCACTCGCCTCCTTAAGAGATGGCGCTACCGGCGCTGCGTTCACAACGTATGGAAGCCTACATCGCGCAAGAGAAATTCGGAGCCAAACACTCCATAAATACGATGCCAGACTAACATCAGTCGGGCCGCGGCCCCCAAGCTGACATTACCCAGCTCGGAGGAAGATCTTCCCCTTTGGCCTTCCTACAGTTTCAAACGATTTTATAATTTTATCCCACATAATGCTTTTAAAAAGTAACCGTTTAGTTGGAAACAGTTCAAAAGTATCAAGGCGATCCAAACAGTTTATTGGGGAAAATCTTTTAAAAAACCCGTATTAATAAACAAGGAATAAGCTTAGACTAGTTACGCCGTGTTTTGTTCATCATCAGCCTATTAATATCCCCACTGCTGGGGCATAGGCCTACCCTATGGATGGAATAGGGAGATTGGGCCATAACCCACCACGCGGGCCCAGTGCGGGTTGGTGGGTGCTAACGACTGCAGATGCAGCCGGGACCAACGGCGTAACGTGCCTTCCAAAGCACGGAGAAGCTCGAGATAGTAAATTTTCGGTCACCCATCCAATGACCGACCACTGCGAAAGCTGCTTTTATTCAACGATCGCAGCGGTACGCGCCACTGGCGCCATCGAGCTCCTCAGCGAGTGCGAGTGTTTTGTTCATGTCACTCAAATGCCATTTGTCATTCAATAGGTGTGTCAATCGAAGCGTAGTCTTCGTTTATTAATAAGGGGGTTAATATTTAGTGCTGTCGTAGGAACAGGTCGTTTTATTTTGATCTATTGATAGTGCAAAGAATAATAATAATAAATAATAATAATAGTAAAAAAAAAAAAAAAACCGTCAACGTGACAACACATTCTTTCCAAATTCTCTAATTTATTTTAATATTTTATTTTCAATCAAACAATCGTATTACCATATTTATTATACCATAGCTTTTTGAATTGAATCTATTACAAAACCAAAAATGAAATAGAAATAAAAAAGAAAATTTTTCACAAACATGATTACTTTGATGACATGTGTAAGTGTCAAAACAAATAATAACAACAGAGAATGGAAATGAATCAACAATGTTGACGAGGAGCAAAACAGCACATTTAAGACCACCGGACTCGTCGCGTCGTTCCGCCTCGCAGTTATCAGCAACAGACACAGTACCGAGTACCCTCCGGCTGACACCTGCAGTTGCGTCGAGCGATAGTGACGAGTACTTCTCTCCTCCGGCGACGCCACCACCAGTTCGTCGAAGAAGAGGCCGGCCACCGAAGGGTTTGTGGCTTGTGGGGCAATCGGCTCCAGTCAGGGCCCCCGCTCCCGGTGGAGTGCACCGCATGCGATGGACAACTTCCATAAACGAAAGTGTCATGCGTGCATATTTACCGTGCTCGGATGCTTTCTCTGTTTCAGGTTCTTGAACCAACTGTCAACGTTTCGGCTCAACGATTATCGGATCAGGTGCGGGCCATTCAACGGGGTCACTTATTGGATGACTCTACACTTGATCGGCTCCGTACAGAGGTACAAAGTAATCACATCATTTCTATTGCATCACAGGCGGCAAATCTATCCCCGTCCATAACAACATTACAAGCTGACGTTGCTGATGGTGATGATAGAGATGATGTGATTACTACTGTAAGTTCCCAACACAATGATGTATTGAGGAGTACTTTCGAGGATGTAGTTCGGGAATTTCGATCCACTCCGTTGCGTCTTAGACCTCGGCTTCCGCGTTTCCCTATGCACAAAAAAAATAGGGCGCTGATGTGTGCTTTAGATTCGCTATTATCAAATTATATTGATAGTAGCGAAGACCTCGCTGATACACATTCGATCTTGTACTGTGCGGCTGTTACGGCTTGTCGTGTGGCGCATGTCAAATTCCCAAATACTGACATAGCGACACGCCCTAGACAGGCTGTACCAGCCTGGCAGTGCAGGATTGAGAGCCGTATTAGCGAAGCTAGGGTACTCATCGGTAAGCTCAGCTGTTTCAGGGAGGGCAACACCCGCCCTAGGGTCATGCGCTTTGTGAGACGTGCATTCTCGGGAACTGGTATTAGTCCCGAGAATTATAGTTCACGTGTCACAGAGCGCATTGACTTTCTGAAACAGAAAATTTGTGCATGGGCTAATCGCATTCGGAGGTATAAATTAAGAGTGAGTCGTTTTACTCAGAACCGTATGTTCGAAAGAGACCAACGTTGTGTTTATCGATCCTGGGAGCGATCGAATCAGAGTGATATTGATATGCATCGACCGGATGATGAGGCCATGATTTCTTTCTGGCGCAACATCTGGTCCGTGCCTGTCACTCATTCTGATGGCGCGTGGATGAGGGATGTTGAGCGATCGTGCGAGCTTTTACCTGAAATGAACGATGTAACCATTGACTACGAAGACGTAGCTTGTGCAGTTCGTTCGTTACCCAACTGGAAATCGCCAGGCCCGGACGGACTGCACAACTTCTGGTTTAAATGGTTATCAAGCTCGCACGTTTGCTTAGCATCTCAATTCCAGCGTGCTTTATCATCTCGGTCGCTTCCGGAATTTATGACAACAGGCATAACCCATCTGCTCTATAAATCTGGAAGTACTACGGACCCAAAAAATTATAGACCAATCACCTGTCTACCAACAATTTATAAAATTCTTACTTCTATTTTGAGATCAAAGATTAGTAAACATATTGATCAAAATTCTATCATGTTCACCTCTCAAAATGGATGTAGGAATGGGGCCCGTGGTACTAAGGAGCTACTCCTCATTGACATGGCTATTAATCAACAGGTCCGCCGTAACCGAAAGACTCTGTCGACTTCCTGGATAGATTACAAGAAAGCGTATAATTCCGTACCGCATTCATGGCTCATGAGGGTGCTGGAGCTGTATAAAATAAATGCAACTCTACGCACTTTCTTGATGTCATGTATGCGACAGTGGAGAACGGTCCTATTCTATCCAGAATCTCGACGGACTCTGGGTAACGGCGATCCTATAAAAATAGAGCGAGGCATCTTCCAGGGTGACGGTCTGAGTCCATTGTGGTTTTGCCTGGCCTTGAACCCTCTGAGTACACTACTCGAGAGTTCAGGTTTAGGCTATCGTTTACGGAGAAATGGTCAAGTAATATCACACCTGCTTTACATGGATGACCTGAAACTTTTTGCCCACAGCAGTTCTCATTTGACAGCCTTACTGAAGGTTACTGAAGATTTCAGTAATGCTATCAGAATGGAATTTGGTGTGGACAAATGTGCAATCATGCATGTAAAGCGTGGTCAGGTAGTGGAATCCGCGGGTATACAACTCTCGGATTCAGTTCACCTTAGATCTCTCTCCGTAAACGAAACCTATAAATATTTAGGTATGTCACAGGGATTAGGCATCAACGATGCTGACATGAAACAGTCATTACGTGAGCGTTTCTTGGGGCGCCTGTCAAAAGTTCTTAAAAGTCTTTTGTCGGGCGGAAACAAGGTTCGTGCATATAATGGCTGGGTAATGCCGCTATTGATGTATTCCTTTGGCATATTTAAATGGACTCAAACTGAACTTGATGCCTTGGACAGAACAGTTCGTACATTGTTAACAGCACACCGTATGCATCACCCACGCTCCTCGACTATGAGATTGTATATCCCGCGGAAGTGTGGTGGTCGTGGCTTCCTAAATGCCAAGACATTACATAACCGCGAGATAAACAATCTTAGGGAGTATTTTCTTAACGTCGATATGGGGATTCATAGAGATGTAGTTGCTGTTGACAATGGACTCACTCCTCTATTTTTAGCAAAAGAAAACTGGCGCAGACCTGTAGTACTTAGTACTTTGGATCGCAGCATTGTATGGCAAAGCAAGGAGTTGCATGGCAGATTCTACCGGGCTCTCCATGAGCCTGACGTAGATTTATCAGCATCAGTATCCTGGCTACGTTACGGTGACCTTTTTGGTGAAACCGAAGGTTTTATCTGTGCAATTATGGATGAGGTTGTGATGACGAAGAACTACCGGAGGTTTATACTGAAGGATGGCACATTGGATGTTTGCCGTGCGTGCCATCGCCCAGGTGAATCCCTTAGGCATATAATCTCCGGTTGTTCTCGTCTCGCAAATGGCGAATATTTGCACAGACATAACCAAGTGGCCAGGATAATACACCAACAACTTGCTTTGAAATACAATCTTTTAGCATCCGAGGTTCCTTACTACAGGTATACTCCAGAACAGGTTCTTGAAAATAGCCATGCCACATTATATTGGGATCGATCTAT